ATAGACATACAGCTAATCTCATGAGATTCTAGTATTTTTTTTTATATAAATAGGTTTTCAAAATGTACATAACATCACATAACTGACTAGTACAACACCACTACGTCTAATCAAATGCAACTAACTGTTTTGCTTCCGGCTTTGACAGGTTTGCGAAGGGCAGATAAATTGCGAGTAATGGAATACGGGTAATGTATTAATTGTGCAAATTAATTATTCTTTTTATCTGAGGTCTTGGTTGAAATAAAAAAGTTAGCCTCACGAGCGGGATTCGAACCCACTTCACAGTGGAAATTTACAAGAAATAAGAATGTTGGAGAGTATAAAAATATTCCACAGCACTACAGTCGAAACCTCATGAAATCTATGCCACGTCTTGCCACGATTTCAATTTATATTATCGAATGCACGCGGGGATCAACGCGAGAGGAGGAAATACACCTTACTGACTTGAATATTTTTTCATTGCTTCCATAGCAACATTTTTGGTGAAATTGTTTTAATCAGTTTAATTTTTTAATCTTTTTTCTTTTATTTAAAAATATCTAGTAAACAACAAAAAATAAAAATTTATCTGATAAACATTGACGATTTTTTTCCCAATGGGAGTTCACAGAAGTCACCCACCCAATGTCTCGGTCCGAAAAGCCCTTTTGGATGTATTTTGGGTGCGGATTAAGATGCGAATCGGGACCCTTCTTGATGAGTAGTGTCAATGCAAGACTAAATTTATTCGTACTTAAACTTAATTCTTAATTTCAACTTATATTATCGAATGTACGCGGTGATCAATGCGAGAGGATGAAATACTCCTTACTGGCTTGAATATTTTTTCATTGCTTCCATAGCAACATTTTTGGTAAAATTGTTTTACTCAGATAAATTTTTTTATCTTATATTAATTAATTCTTATTTAAATAATAATATCTAGTAAACAAAAAAATAAAAATTATAACGATTGCAAGTATTTACTAAAATAAACAAGGGTGGCCACTTTTTTTTACTATTAGTGGATAGAATAATGTGTCAACTAATAATTTTTTTAATACACATAGTTATCATCTAGTTCTGTTTTTCACACAATACTCAGGTAAACCTTGACTTATTCGTTTAATTAAATTAATCCTTTAAATTAATTAGTCATAGGAATAATTGAATCGGGATTGGAGTTTACTATTAGGACAAACCTTGACGATTTTTTTTCAACAAAGAGTTCACATAAGTCATATCAACCTCCAATGTCCCCGGTCCGAAAAGCCCTTTTGGATGTACTTTGGGTACCGATTAAGGTTTGGTAAGATTCGAATCGGGACCCTTCTTGTTGAGTGGTGTCATTGCAAGACTAAACTTACTCGTACTTAAACTTAATTCTCAACTTGATTATGCTTGAAACAATAGGTATAAGTAGATGTTCTTATTTTTTAACCTTATGAATTATTAATAATAGTTTCAAAGTCGTTAGGAATTTTGTATATTTCTCGAATGCTTCGATGCAACTGAGTTATTTTCTTTCATATTTGTCTTATCCTGGATTTTAAGTATAAAATTTTAATATTAAAAGCTGACATTAATTATATATGTGTAGTGTTTAGTGACCGTTAATTAATGATTATTTAGAGATCGTGAGATGCGGTCTGATGTGATGTAGGTTTAGAAAAATATTTTCTTAATCGTGCCAACGTTTCCATCTTTATTGAGATCATCTTCAGGGCCTGGGATTTACAAACATTGTTTAAATTTAACAAATACATGTAGGATGTGGAAAAAAGTGAATATATACGATGCAAAATATATTATTTATATTCAATCAAAGTATTTTTACTCACTCAAAGTGTTTGTCTTCTGTGTAATTGTGCCATTCTTGCGTGTCGTGTTGAGAGTGCCGTCTTTTCACCTTAAAGAAGCCGACGCCTTATACAAAAATGTCTTTTCTATACCGGCTTCCTTCCCCACTTCTTCAAAATCCAACGTATATAAACACAAAATAGCAATATCTCACTGGCACTCTCAACACGATACGCAAGAATGGCACAATTACACAGAAGACAAACACTGAGTGAGTAGAAATACTTTGATTGAATATAAATAATATATTTTGCATTGTATAAATTCACTTTTTTCCACATCCTACATGTATTTGTTAAATGTAAGCAATGTAAATCCCAGGCCCTGAAGATGATCTCAATAAAGATCGAAACGTTGGCACGATAAAGAAAATGTTTTTCTGAAACCTACATCACACCAGACCGCATCTCACGATCTCTGAATAATTATCGATTAACGGTCACTAATCATCACACGTTGTTTAAATTATCCAAATACACGTAAGATGAATTTGAATTTATAAAATGATGAACACAATATAGAAATTTTAGGTTTGATCCAAGTATTTTTACTCACTCAAAGTGAACTGAGTTTTCCATTATTGTCGGTCCCTTTCACCTCAAACAAGCCTACTACTCATAGAAAAATGAATTTCTATCCCTACTTCCTTCCCCACCTTCAAAATTAAACATATATAAACATAAAACATTAATATCTCACTAACACTCACATCAGTGACACAACTGCACAGAAAACACACTGAGTCTGTACAAATTTTAAATCTAAAATTTCTTTATTGTGTACATCATTATATCTTATGATTTTCTTGAAATTTGTATAATTGAAACATTGGCACGATAAAGAAAACGTTTTCGTAAACACAGAAGACAAACACTTTGAGCCCTAAAGATAATCTCATTAAAGATCGAAACGTTGGCACGATAAAGAAAATGTTTTTCTGAAACCTACATCACACCAGACCGCATCCCACAATTTCTAAATAAATATCGATTAACGGTCACTAATCACCACACACACGTTTTTGTAAACCTACATCACAACAGAATCTCACGATGTCTAAATAATCATTAATTAAAGATAATTTGTAATTTGCTTAACATTAAATAGTGAAATATTTTTCACCGAGATTAAATTGATTATTCAACATAGTTATTATTGTATTTATATTAAACAATTGGTAAATAAAATTTCAAATTATGAGCAACTATTCCTAGAACGTGATTAATGTCCCATATGTACTGTGGTTGGGAACTAACAGCCAGATTCCTCGGTAGTATAGTGGTCAGTATCCCCGCCTGTCACGCGGGAGACCGGGGTTCGATTCCCCGCCGGGGAGGATAATTTTTTTTAAATTCTAACTTTTGTTCCTTTTTAACGTTTTAAGTCTCTTACAGATATCATCCTTTTAATATAAATATGGCAGTTTTATTTTTTGAAATATTCAATTTGAGGAAAAAAGTGCGGAAAACCACGATCTTGTTAGCACATTCTGCATCTGTCATCAAATGAATAACTAAGATATTAATAGGGTATTGTTAAGAATAGAATAGTTACAAAAATGTATCGCCGCTTGTTTACATTGTATTCAATAATGTAAATTTCTACATAAATATTACTGTGTGGTGGTTAATGACCGTTAATCGATAATTATTCAGAAATCGTGAGATGCGGTCTGGTGTGCCTTATCACCCAGACCGCATCTCACGATTTCTGAATAATAAATATTACTATTAACACAATATTATCCCAGTACTGTCACAGTAGTACGCCCTTCAGTCTCCTGTTTTTTTTTTATTTGTCATAGTGGAGGTTTTTGATTTCGTAATTGAATTAATTATTAGGCTATATTTAGTGCATTATGTATGCAGTCGATCCAAGTTCCCGGAATGTTTACTATTCTAAAAGCTTTATTTTGGACAGATTGAAGTTTATTATAATTGTATACACTTTAGGTTTTTATAATTAGGCGGGATTTGTTGTTGAGGATGGAGAAAACGCTAAGGTAAATTATTTTAATCATTATACTTTTTTTGCTTTAGGTTCGGTGGTTTTAGAGTGAAAGGGGGAGGCACAGACGTAATATAAATACCCCACTGCCTCCCCAATTTTTAGCTGTGCATTTGGAATGAAAGGACCGTATTTATTAGCGAGAATGAGAGCGGGTCTTCGGCAGAATATGGAGTACCGTGAAACCCGCCAAACTAAGTTTAGGCTAAGTTTGAATGCGTGGGGTATGAGTCAGTTGTAGAGCCTTATCACTCACGTGTGGAGGGGTAAATACAATTAGAAATAATGAAATAAATAAAAATATAATTTAAAAAAAGCACGCGTGTTGGTGAAAACGTAAGGTGCCGGCAATAGCCTTGGTAGACTGCCGAAAAAAGTATACTTTTTATCTAAGGTCTTGATTGAGATAAAATAGTTAGTGCCACGTGCGGGATTCATACCCACGCTGCTGCCCTAACAACTTGAGCTATCATGACATTACGGTGGTTAGAGCAGCGGCGTATTGAGCCGAAGGTCGTGGGTTCGAATCCCGCTCGTGATACTTGCTTTTTCATCTCAGCCAAGACTTAGATCAAAAGTATAATTAATTAAAATAATACGTTCAATTATGATTACTAAATACGTATATGGGCTAAGGTAAATCTTCCCTAAGATAAATAAACCCGGTTGACCATGGGATGACCTCGTTACCAACCGATGCACTGTACGTACAGTATTGGCCTTATTTATATATATTTATTAAGTGTGGGTTTGTAATTTCTAACAAAGTGAGACCGAAAATAATTACTATGACGACTCGTAGGATGCGGAAGGGTATGAGCAGAAAAAATACAGTTTCCTTTCCTGATCATCCTGATTTGACTATTATGAAAAAACACAAGAGGGAAATATTTTTCTACTCTCTAAAATCAGTTTCTCGAAAGAATTGGAAATTATACCTGGTAAGTTGCCAAGAGGTCAGTGCTTTTACCAAACGACCGAATCTATCGGCCTAGCTTGATATACCCTTCACTTGCCTACCTAAAAATGTTTTGCTATTTCCTATCCGGCTTTCACTCTTTTGTGCTTAAAATATCAAAAATTTCTAAAATCATTAACTCAAAAAGAATAATGATGAAAGAGATCCCGAAACAAAATTTTTATTTTACCCTGTGAGGAACCTATCACGATTCCAATAGTCGGCTTTCGTGTATCTTGCGGTTCCCCATGTCCGTCTGCCCTTGTGAGGACAATACCTTGACGGTGCAGTCATGCCTGTAGATGAGGGACCTGCAATAGAAGAGATTAATAATTAACCCAGAAGCTTAAGTTTAGAGAAATTAACGGTTGACGATATCATAGATAAACTACTCACTTCCTCTCCTGGATCGGTTCGGATTCCCAGTTGGCCGCCATTTTGGTCAGTGGCTCAAGGCGGCCCATGTTGTCCTGGATGTTGGACAGTTCATTATTCATTAACTTCTCGAGGGTGTCCAGTGTGGCTTTGTAACCAGCGGACGCGTCCTCCCGCGAGTTCCTCAGCTTATTCTCGAGGTCGAAGGTGAAACTGGACACGGTCAACGGCCTGCACAAGGGGTCCGACGTGTGGTCATTAAAACTAAGAAAAAGGAGAAATGCTCAAATAGAATCAATACAGTTTAGCATTATCATGGGCCATATGAACACCTACCTAGAATGGGCTGTGTATGGCCTGCCAAGTGAGATGGGGTTGTCCAGGAAGACGTCGGAAGCGACGGACGGCAGCATCAGTCTGGTGGCACTGGACTTTTCCTGTTCCTCGACTTCCTTCCTTTCCTTCTCCAGCGCGAGTCTGGTTTCGGCCAATTCTTTCCTCATTGAGGACAGTTCGCCTTGCAACTTCTCCAGTCTGTCTTTCAGGTAGTCCGAACCATTTTCCCCTTCGTTGTAGCAGACCTGAAAAATCCGCGTGAGTAATTCCCAAATGAACGAATAAAAATCGATTTACATGATTATGAAAGCAGTTGTCGTCATCGCAGAATTCGCTGCCTTCTTTTCCAGCGTCTTCTTTCTTTTCCTCTTTGTCTGTACTTTCGTCCTCTTTAGAACTCAACGCGCCTTTGTCTTTGGTCGGAAGTTCCGTGGAATAACAGGTGTTTTCGTTACCGCTGGGCTGAGTCCAAAATTTCGCATTGTTCTCATTTTTGAAAATGGAGTTGAGCCACTTGAGATCGTCCTGCTGGAGGCAGTCGTTCCTGTTGTCCTCGCTTTCCGTCTGGTCTTCCGCCGAATCCGCATCGGACTTTCTTTTTTCTTCGGTGTCTTCGCTCGCCTTTTCCTCGTCGTCGTTCTTCTCGCTCGAATCGTTCTTTTCGTTACAGCTGCTCGACGACTCGCTAAAGTCGTCGAGAGAGCCGATGCCCGCATATCTCTGCGAGTTATATATGTTGTCGGAGTACTCTTGTTTTCCCTGATTTTTCTTCATTCTATCACTGCTCGTGTTCGACGTCGTCTCGTTTTCGCTCTCGTCTCCGGATGTCTCCGACTTCTCTTCTATGATCTTCTTGTCGTGGGCCTTTTTCATTTCCTTCTTTTGCTGTGTGCTTGGAGCGTCCCAGTACTTGTCCCTCCTCGCTGATCGATATAGATATTCATCTTCGCTCGACGAAAGCATTCTGTTATCAAAAGTTTCTTCTTTTCGTAATAGCCGAATTCTATAACTAAGGTAAATGATAGATTATTTAAATTTGTACATAAAACATATGATCATGGGAAAATATGTTTAATTCGTTTTTAAAATGTTTTTCTTATTAGATTTGTGTACTTATCTTCGTCATAAGACTTTTTCTTGGGCAAACACCTTTTTCTTAAAATTCATGTATCTCTCATAGTAGTCCTAAATTTACTAACTAACTTAACTTTTCTATTGATTTGAAGTAATAAATTTCACAATGTATAGGTGTATATGTATGTATTTTTAGCTGACAACGTTTTTTATTTTTATGAACCTCTTCTAATAACAATAATCAAATATTTTGTTTTAAATTTAGACATAATATAGGAATGCCTCCTCCCGCCACAAATGATAATGGTCTTTTTTCCATGGTATTGTATTCATATCAGAGGGATGGTATAAGGTCATGGTCAGTCGTGCATTAACGAGGTAGAGCCAACCCCGTTTCACGCCCGGCTAATGAAGCCTTGGTCACAGTTCCGCCCAGACCTCTTCACGTTCGCCACCAACTTCAACACAAAGTAAATTTTTGAATTGTACAGTGAAAACCATAATAAAACCAATATTACTGATCCAGTGCTACAGTTTTAAAATAAAGCTGAACCGTTTTCTCAGTATCATGTAATTTATTCTTAAGATTTCGCTTGTTCTACGCAAGAGCAAAAAGGTATGTTTTTCTGTTTGGAATTAAATTAGTAACTCAAGTTTGAAAATATGAAAAGTCACATCTGCATGTACAAAAAGTTTAGCACACTTTAACACTATGGTATCAGTAGGCAACACGGGTGTATTTTTGTATCTTCGTACGGTTTTTGAGGGTGGAAAGTACAGTATAACGTGTCAAGAAGAAACGTGCACATTAGTATGCCGACCGAAAAGCATATCGTACTCTTTAGACGTAAAGGTGACTCCGAGTTTGGTAGAAAATAAAGCTGTAAACAGTTCAATGAGCCGTTTTATATGGATGTCTCAACCTAGGTTTTATTCCAACAGTAGGCCCAGGTTACAGCGTCTTATTATTATTAATTAATTTTTTCGTTCTCATTATTTATTTAATTTGTAATTGAAGCAGACCAGTTTGGATTTTTTGGGTTTATCGTATGGTTGCACATTCCGATCTCATCTGTAAACGATTTTCTTATGGATAGTTTTTGTTATCATTTGGGACAGAACTGCTAGGTCGTCAGCAAAATTCGCCAACTGAAGAGAAGAGAGCTTAGGGTAGCCAGAGGTTTATTTAGCAATAAGTCGTCAATTTATATTATTTTAGCATTTCACGTAAGACAAAACATAGCGTATTTATGACGAAAGGTGTGGTCTGGCCGTTTTCACTCTTGCCTGAAGAACTCCTCGAGGCACTGGGAACAACCACTGGGCAGTGAGCGCGGCCGGTAGTTCGCAGTTGACATGACAGATAGCGGAATTAGCACGGGACTCCAATGTTGACGATCCCCTGGAACTTTATTGACATTTTCAATATTCGAGCTTATTTTAAATGTTTAAGATTAAAAAAAAAGGTAATGGGCTATAAATGGTAACTTTTTAAAAAGTTTCAAGATCAATTAAATAAATCACGCCAACATTTAAAATTAGACAAAGCGGATTTTTCCAGGAAAAGTTACTAGAGGTGTGTACTAATTGTGTCCGTGGTCTGAAGAGCCTTATAATTCCTCTTATAAACTTAGCGATGCCGGTGGTTACTCTTGCGGTGGTTACTGCGTCCTGCTCTTTCCGTCTCTACAGTTTTCGGCTCTACGAATGGCATTTGTTTCGTGAGAAGAAAGAAATCCTGGCCTGGTAAGTGCTAGCCGGCTCTCGATTGTAGAATTGATATACGAGGTCCACGCCCTGTTCCAAGAAAGTTTCCCGAAAGGAGTTTTTTCTCCCCGACATGGGAACTCGACCGCCCTAAACCCTCCTAATGATCCCTAGACGATTACTGCCTCGAATGCATTACCTGTGGAAGAATTTCTTTCGTTATTATCTTGTGGAATTTCGTCTCACGCATGTCTTGAACAACGTCCCATCGCGATTTCCATAAACTGGCGTCTGAATAACTCTAAAACGCTTTCACAGTGGTTGGATTATTACGTAAAAACACGTTTTAAGATAAAATGTCTCATACTCATCAAACTACAATCAGATCGGAGCCAGTTAGGATTGCCTACAGTTTTGCAAACTTTCAAAGAAATGGGTTATCATAATTATGTAATATGTGTTGTTCTGTTTTTTAACTAAAGTTATTGAAACTTTTTATTAAATATTTTTCGATTTTTTCGTTCAATTTAATAAGAGTGTGAAGTATAAAGAAAATGTATAAATATGTATTTATATACGGGGTTCATTGTAGTACGTACCGTACGTGTTGGACGCTTAAAACTTTGCTTAAATGGACTATCAAATTTTCCTAGCCATGCCCAGACATAGTATCAAATCGTCCGTTGTATGGAGACCCAAATTGAGAAATGGCTCAAGGGGATGGGCCAATGAGCCCGAAACGTACAAAATAAAGAAATATTTATGCCTCTGAACACTCGGGTGTTTATGGCATCCTTAGTGGCATCCTCTACGAAATAATTTCATATACCCCCTAAGCAGATGTTATAACTCATATAATAATATAACTAATAATTATTCCTCCACGCCGTGAAAAACGAAATCCACTGTAATGTGTATTTTATTTTATTTATAACTCCAACAGAATGAATGTACAAGAGGGGTAGTAAAAAAAGCACATAATAACAAAAAGAAACAAATGAATAATTAAGCAATAATAACAAAAACACATGGCTTAAGGATTCATGGCAAGTATACGTTTTTATTTAACTTTAACTGAGTGCAAAAAATCGTGAAATACATCTATTTCATTGGAATAATAATTCACCAACCTTATTATCCTTGGTAGGGGGGAGTTTAGTCCATATTCTGTTTTGCAATGTGGAACAAAGAACAATTTATGGTTCCTTAGTGTTCGCTTAGTTCCTTATCCTTAGTGATAAATCTTTATAAGTTCTGGATATCAAGGGCCCCATTCCACAATTTCCAACCCCAAATCAGATCAGCAGAAATACGGCGGGAGCTAAGCTACTCTAGACTAAGCCAGTTCAATCTTTCCACGTAATTCAAATTTGCAAGACCAAATATGAAGGCCATTATCCTGGTTGTTTTCCTTTGTACTTTTTCTAAGTCACTAATCTCACCAACGTAGTAAGGGGCCTACACAACCCTTGTGTATTGCAGATGGCTACGCACGAGGGATTGATTTTAAATTCCAAGACATTTTTAAAATCTCTAGAAAATCTAGTAATAAAACCAAGATTGCGTAGAGCCTTACCTCGAATTTGTTTGATATGATCACTGAAATCGTCCTTTCTTTGAAAACGACACCAAGGTCGGAGATAGTGTCAACCTCTTCTAATCTCTGCCCATCAATGAAATAATCAAAACGAGGTAGGATATTTTTAGTAAATATAATTACCTTACATTTGTTAACATTCAAAGGAAGACGATTCTGCTCACACCAATTAATGAAGCAGTCCAGTTCCCCCGGAAACTAACTGTTGGGTGATTTCTTCGTGTGTTAGGGCTGGTGAATTTATAATCATTGTGTTCTGCCCTCAGAAATCATAAGACCGCTTAAGATGGCGTCTGCCAGACCAATCCTGCTGGCAAGGAAAGGCCAATCAAAATGACCGGTACTGCCGAATTGCACCGTAATATTTCTTTAACCACGCAACCTTCTCCTGAATGGAATACATTTTAATTTAAGTGTTTGCCAGGGCTTAAGAAATCCGTTAATTGGAATATTAAGAAACTTGCTCCAGAGAACAAGCAGGTAGTTATTGTTGTTCCTATGGTGCATCAAAAAATATGTACGGCGTAATAGCTTTAACGTGGCCAACCGTTAAAGTTCGTCGAGGAAGCTGAGAAAAGTTGCATTCCCGGCGACTAATATCAATGTCTTCTAAAGTGATCACTGGAAATGAGGATTATTATTGTATTATTGATATAATTTAATTCAAAAATACTTAAACAGTTATCAAAATTATTAATAAATTAATTAATGGTTATTAAAATTTGCCAAAGAGTTGTCGTGAGTATCGTAGGGATTATTGTTCAATAACCTCTCCCCCACTGATGTCACCACAGTCCATTGAATAGAAGTGAATTAATGTAATCAATCCGTCCTGACAAAGGCGGTGAGCGGGTGTCTGAGCAGCTGAAACTCCAACACATGAGGGCCATATGTTTACTACTCGGTCATACGCTTGCTTGCCACCGATCGATACTTATGCACACACGTGTACCACGGCCGCAGGTGTGGAAAGAGGCAGGTACGATTTTCCACTTGTTCCGTTTTTCCGGTTTAACCAATTCTGCCTCAAGAAATGAATGAGCCACATTCGACTAGTCAATAAGACTAATTCCGATATGTTTAATAATAAAATAAAATAGTACGTGTAATAATTATTTACTCTCTTTCTCCTCTCAAACTCTCTCATTTGTATCATCTGTGTAACACTCTTTTTCATTCTCTCTCTCTCTCTCTCTCTCTCTCTCTTTCTTTCTTTCTTTCTTTCTTTCTTTCTTTCTTACACTCTCTATCTCTTAACTTATCTTTCTCATTCCTCTCTATCTCATCTCTCACTTTTTCTCTCCCTATTTCATCACTCTCTCTCTCTCTCTCTCTTTCTCTCTGTCAATATCTGTCTTTCTTAGTCATTCTCTCTCTCTCTCTCTCTCTCTCTCTCTCTCTCTCTCTCTCTCTCTCTCTGACATTTTTATCATATCTCTAACTCTCTTTTTTATTTCTCTTTTCACGTCTCTCTCTCTCTTATTCTCTTTCTTTCTCACTGTCTCTCTCTCTCTTTCTCTATGCCATCTCTCTCCCACTATTTCTCTTTATTACTCTCTCTAATCTCATTTCTATCTCATCTCTTTAACATTTTCTTTTTCTCATTTCTCTCTATCTCATCTCTCCCTCTTTCTCTCTCTATCACTCTATCTCTCTCACTCACTCTCTCTCTCTCACTCTCTCTCTCTCTCTC